CATGTCCAGGGAAAGGGCATGTATTCCAGTAGCATTTACAGATGTACTTGGCTACTCAAACGAAGGTGAGAAAAGAAAGCATGTCAATGATAACACAAACCTATCATTCTGAGAAAAAAAAAATGGTCCAAAAACTTACACGTACATGTATCTTACACCTTGCCCTCCCTGGCCTCCCACACTGCAAGCCAATCTATTCAGAACCTACATGTATCACTGACTACTATTCCACGAAATCATTACAAATCCAAATTCACACATCCTCTTGACAGAGCTGCTTACATGTACATGTACCAGGTATGCCTTACACTACAGGGCTCAACGCACATGTACTTGTATTGCACAGTGAACTACTGTACACTGTAAACATACATGTACATGTACATGTACAGTACATACATGTGCACCAGTATGTGCTTCTTGACAGTGCACACATTGTACAGTTCATAGTGAACATTGTCCAGATTTGCTTGTGTTAACATGTATGTTCTGGTAATGTCCTCACAGCCCATGCAGCTCAACAGCTGTACAGTGTTCATGTACATGTACTGAACGGAAAATGTATGGTAGACAGGATTTATGCACAGGTTCGAATGGATTCATCATGAAACGTACATGTACACATGTACAGTACATAATACGTGCATGCACACCATACATACATGTACATGTATGTACATGTACATGTATGTATTCTTCATGTACATGTATGAACAGGTACCGAACATGTTCATGTATCGGTACATAAATTTACATGATCATGGATAATGAAAACTTAACAAAGGCAACACATGTATCTATACATGTACTGTACCGGTACAGTGCCCTCATACTGAAAGCATTTTTCCATTTTTTGAACCAATTACACATTTAACAAAAATTTTCGACCCACCATCCCAAGACCAGGCTGAAGTAGGCAACTTCATCACCATAAAATAGTGGAACTTCCACTGTTCAGATTTTCATGGGAGTTTCACAGCTACATGTATCACTACCCGTAGGGAGCTTACTACAGATTCAACATGGATCACTTTAACGTGTAGAAAAAACCTGAAGGAGAGGAACTGTCCAGCATCACAAATATCAACTTCAGCCTGGTTTGGGGACAGCGGGTCACATTTAGACACAGACATGTGTAAAAGAATAAACCAGCAAAATGCTTCCTGATATTATTTCCATTCCTCCATGTACAATATATCCCATACAATTGGCTGAGATCTGCTGAAGGAGAGGAATCGTCCTTCGAATTTTTTTCAATTAAAAAAATAAATAGGTAAGTAAAAAATACATGTACAGTATACCCAACTACAGTGTACATGTACATGCTGGTACATGTACATACGTGTATGTACATGTACATGAACATATCTTTTGCCATTTATGTACCGGTATATGTACATGTACCTCCATGGTTTGATGAATAATTACATGTATCCGTACTGGCACATGAATTCAGTGTTCTCAACAAAAATGCTGACCATTTCCCTTGCTTGGCCGAAAAACAACACTGACATGCAGCCTCGAAATTTTTCAGACCCATAAAACTCAGAATACACATGTATATGGTGACTCTGAAACAATTTGGCACTGCACGCATACAGGTACATGGTCAGACCACACCAATCACATCAGGACGTGCTCTGGGAGACTTCCAGGTGAATGTACATGTATGTATTGACCAACATCGCAGCAGGACATTTTTTCTTTTTTACACAACCGTCCAAGAGCAAGCAACGACCTGCATTTGATAAGAGCTGAGCCAAACCAGAGCAGAAGTTGATTTCAAATCAACACTCAAATCACACAGTGGAAGAGAGACAAATCCTGCTATTGCTAATCAAGTCCTAGAGTACACCACGTGTTCACTGCCATGTGGGCACTCACATAGGCCCCTATATACTGGTACTGTACCTTAGTTAGAGTCTGTACATGTACGTGTGACATGCACATGTTATGAAAATTTAGCAAAGATGAGTTTCAGACAACCTCACGCAGCGGCAACTACACAAGATTCAAAGGTCAGATGTCGACACACTCTTTTGTAACCACTCTACAAGTATTTGAGCAATGCTAAAATTGGGTCATTACTCACAAAACAAACATGTGTGAACCGTGAACTCCACTTCAAGCTAAGTCATTCAGTTACATTTACATGTACGAGCAAATTACGTGTACATGTACATGTATGCCTTCCCTTTCCAAAGAATCATCTCTCAATGTACATGTATGTAAGTTTGTTAAGTCAAATCAAGTGAAACCACAAGTTGCCAATTGTCACCAGGAACTACATGTACGGTAAAGGTACATTTATTAGAACTTTAGATCAATTGTTAACAGTTACTTTCACCAACTGATAAAGGTTTGTAATGAATAACATGAATCAAAAGCAAGCCCACTTTTATTTGATCATTTCATTTAGAGCTGCTTTTGTGAGGCTGACCCCATCAGGCACTTACATGTATATACAAACAACACACACACATGTACATGTGCAGACATGTAATGAACATGTAGGGGCAAAGTAAGAAAACACAGTGCTCACCGGTTTGCTAAAGTGAGCACTGTTTTTTGTCACTCTGCCCTACATTACTTATCATCAGTGCGCCGCAGTTTTCATATACTTTGCAATGAACATGCATACATGTACCATACACACTTCTGAATCATAGATAACTGATCACCAAGTACTGGCACATGTGAACAGATACACGTACACGTACATGTATGTACAAAGTACTGGTACGTGTACGTGTTTATGTTCATGTATACATACACTGTACATACAATGTACATAGCAGCACATGCTCTTTGGAAAAGTACTCAAGCTTTCAGTCAAGTGGGCTAATAAACCAGTCAAAATACATGTAAGGGTTGGAAACAGTGTCCACATTACTGAAACTTTTCCACAGGATGCAGACTGTTTTAAGGCCGCATTTCATATGGGAGATGTACATGTAGTGAGCAAACATCTGTCCGACTAAAAGATTTGCACATATACATGTACGTGTACATGTACATGCAACTCCAATCTTCCCCATAAATGTACATGTACACGCATGTGACAAAGCACAAAGGCACACGTATGGTACCACTAGTGTTTAGTTTTAAAACAGACATTGTTCACACAATGTAATGTGTACACAGTACCAGTGGTACCAGTTTGAGTACTTGCCGAATTTAAACTTTATCAGACTTACATGTATACTGTTGGAGAAATTACATGTACGTTGTGAACACAGCAACTTTTTCATTCATTCTTTATTTTTCACATAGCTGCAGCTATACAATGAAGATGTACAACCGGAAGGATGGATGTGGATGGGGTCCCTGGAAGCAGTGCTTCTCGAGTGGGAACCCCAATTAGGAATAGTGCACATTATTACAACACGACATTGATTACAGCATCAAACTAGACAATTCAGACAGCAGACCTGTAAGACATCAGGGTTCTCCCCAGGATCTTTTCAAAACTTTGGGGATTTCCATCGTGGTTTACCAACATTTTGTGAAGCCATGGTGTGGGGTTCGGGGCCCAAAAATATTTGGACTTTAGATGCTCTCAGCTGCATTTTAGAGCAATTCCTGGGCTTTTCAAGTACCTTTTCTCGGGAAAAAACATAAGAGATTTAATAAAATTTTTAAATTTTGGATATTTTAAAACATGCAACAACATGAGTGGCTGTATTAATCAACGATTTAAACACCCATTTATTCAGTTTTAATTTTAATACATGCTTCCACCGATTCTGCTAGCGGAAACTTTCTCAAGCAACCCATGAGAAACGGTCGTGTGAATGGACGCACTGTTTATTGTACAACGTCCCATGCGATAACCTACACAGTGCGCATGCGTAGTGACCTCCAACCCCACACAGCACGCGCGCCCTTTAACTCTGATAACCTTCTCAGTAACATCGTTTCAGGTATGTCCAGCGATCGTGGCACTGCTCGCCGGTGCCATCGGGAATACCTCCCATGACTTCTCGCCACACGTGGCTATTGTGGACCATGCCGTCCATTTTCGCCTTAATCGCGGTGTTTCCATGGCAGTTATAAGGCTGAGAGTCTCATCATGCTCCCAGCCCTTCTTGGAACTTTTCTGTTTCTTGGTACTCCCCAAAATATCGGTTTTGGGAGAACGTTTTTTCGTCTGCAAGTTTGACTCTGCCGATGTAGCGTCAGCCATTTTTCATCGATGCTATCCAACCTTTGACCTCACATTGCGCTGGTACTAGCAGTACATGTATTTGCACTCAATAAGTGTGGAGTTCACTGGCAACCCTATGGCTTGTTTTCCATAGGGTTCATGGGAGCGGGAAGGACATCGGCCCCTACAGTTCTGGGGGTAGCACAGCTTGCACTCTGTGATATGACACAAAAGAGCCATCAGTTTTGTGCAAGTCCGGCCAAAATTCATCCGGAGTGGGGAAAACACCAACTGAAATTTTGAAAGAAAAATTTTTTCCTCCAAACAAGGAAAAGGCAAGATTTCTGCAAATAGCAACCTAGGGGATAGTTACATGTACATGTAGCTCCAAGTAGTGAACATACCGGTGCAATTTCAGTTCATAAGATCCAACAGATGTCTGAATATCCCTGGACAGCCTGGAAAAACTTGATCGAAAGAAATCACTATCAATCGGTACAGGGCCCAGTACAGGGCATACAAATATTCGCGCATCCAAATTTCTCGTCGTGGAACTCTTCAACGAAATTATGCCCTGATGTTAATTTTCTGTCGATGATCTTTTGCCACTTCAACGTTGTTCTGTTTGCAGCTGTGTGCAAATTAAAATCTTTTTCAGGGAGAATTTGGGGAAAAATATCAACAAAGAATAAAGCTTTACTTTACTGACTAAACACAAAAATGAACCAGTTAAAATTGTCTAGAAAATTGATACAGGTAAATGATTGCTGTTTGTTTAGTGACGACTTCGATCAACTTTTACAAAATCTTGAGGGCATTATGAAAAATACGGAGCATGAAAAGTACTGCGCACCTTATATTTTGAGATTCCCATAGGCGACAACGGGCAGGATTTTGGTGGCACTGTATTTTCTAACTTTTTCCAAGAAATACACATAGAAAGAGAAGATTTAAAAGTTAAAATTTATACCTCACTGCAACTTAAAATTAAACTGAACAAATTCAAATCTAGGAGAACGAAAAAGAGAAAGTAATGGAGAGTCAAGCTGTTGCGAATGAGTGTTTTTTCCTCAAACTGCATCACTAAACCAAAGTAATAAATGCAAAAAATAATTCCTCATTCAAGAGACATTACATGTAACGGGCAGATTTTTCAGAAGTAGGACATTACTGATACCCTGTAAAATGACGTTTACAAGTACGTGCCCGAATTATGGTGACGTAGGTTTTACTACAGCCGATCTGACTCAATTTATTGCAGATGACATTATTCCTGTTTCAGTGACATCCACACCGATGTTCTTCATAATTAATATTATTCCATGGCGTATTTTAGTCAATCTTTAAACTACTGAAAATGAAGTAATAAAAATTTATTATATTTTAAGAATAAATTTTGGTCAAAGCTCACGACTAAGTCCGCGATTATGGTGACTCATGCCATGTTAGATAGACCCCGGCCCCCTGCATCACGCACACATGTACATGTAGGTACTGTACATGTAGGCCTACCATTCATTAGCAGTCTGTAGTGAAGGCATGCATGCCGTGGGGCTAACGTCAGGGCCTACGCCGCCTAGTCCCTACCTTTTTTAACTGCCAGTGTCCTGTTTCTATTCAAAGAAACAAAATTATCTTACACAGTCTTTCCGATGTTGTCTCCTGCTACTTGTTCGCATTGTAACGCTGAATCTTCGTTAAATTCAAGTTCAACATTTTTTCTTACATGCTCAAATCAGTCATGTCCTCAGCTTTAAAGAAGATGATGTCATGGACTGTTTGATCAATTCTTTATATTTTTCTCAACATATGCCATAATTTTGTGAAACATCTCAGGAAAAAACTTTTAATTTAGTTCATTTTAAAAAACAAGATTAATTCAAAGCTATCACATAATCATTCAAAGTAATGTTTCTGTTGTTTTTGCAAAATATAAAAAATAGAATTGTTAAATTCTGTTTAATATAAAATACCAAACATAAACATTATCAGGTGGTAACCGAAGACGGAGTACCAGTTGTAAATTTTCATGTTATTTGTAAGGCCATGTCCGAAATGGGCTTCCAGAGCTACGGCTAGGTCTGTTGTGTGCTCGTCTCCATACATTTCCAATGGAGTGAATAGACCTAGCTCTAGGGAAGAGATTCTAACGCAGCCTTAGACTGGTTCCATGCCCAATAATTAATAATAACAGCATTTCGCTCGTCGCCTTCTGCCAGGACGCTGAGCTGAGAAAGGCTAATGGC